GCATCCTGACATAAGTGTTAGGATGCTCCAGGTGGGACAGGGCTGTGTGTAATGCTATTGAGACAGCATCCTCTGTTGATCAGTTTTCTCTGTAGGCAAACTGATGGCTGTCCAGACCAACAGGGATAACATTCCTGATGTGCTTTAGGACAATCCTCTCGAAGCACTTCATAATTACTGGTATCAGAGCAACACGGCGGTAATCATTGAGGCAGGTGACAGCTGATTTCTTGGGCACAGGCACAATGATGGAGGACTTGAGGCACATAGGGACTGAAGCAAGATGCAGGGACAGGTTAAAAATGTCCAAGAAAACTCCTACCTGTTGGTCAGCACATAGCTTCAAAACCCAACCTGACACCCTGTGTGGTCCTGCAGCTTTGTTGGTGTTGATCCTCCTCAGGCCAGAGCTGCAGGACGAGGGGCTGGTGCTGTGCCTCAAGCTGAGGGAGTTGTACAGTTCCTCTGCTGCCAGGTGTATCGAAGCGTGCAAAGAAGCTATTCAGAGTGTCAGGGAGGGTGGGACCATGGCTGACCTGCTGGTTGTTACCTCTGTAGTCTGTTATTGTTTTGATGCCTCTCCACATACTCTGTGTGTTGTTATTCATAAAGTGCCCCTCAATGAGCTGTTTGTACCTGCGTTTGACCAGCCGGATGCCCTTCTTTAGTTCTTCTGGGCCCTGCTATAGGCCAGCCTGTCACCTGATCTGAAGGCAGCGTCCCGAGCTTTGAGCAGAGGTGACAGCTGGCTTTACCCAGAGGAGTCCGCCTCTGGTTAAAGCTATCACTGTGTGCTCCCAGTGAATGGCTTAGCTGCATTCCACACTCTCTCCACAAGAGGGGGACCTCGAGTCAGCACAGAGGTGAGTCTCCCAGCATCACACTTATCAGTGTTGAAAGTCACTGACAACAAGGAGTTTATAGTGAAAGCGTAGTGAAGTTGGGCAAACATTTTTTTAAATGTTTTTTTTTTTTTTTTACATGTTACATGTTTTTACAATTTTCTGTGTAAATGGCTACTTTGAAAAAAGGAGAGTACACAAAGCCTGACTAGCAAGCCTGTGCTCTGTTGTGACTGGAGGCATTTCACCAGAACCAAACTGTCTCGCAATTATAACCCCAGGGAGCCTCGCGGACACCGAGATGACTTTGACAAGTAAATTATGACTCTTGATGAGAGGAATCAAGCTTTCTCAGAATGCAATTTTTGACAGCCAGGAAAATGCTGGGGGATACACACAACAACTTCCATCATCCACAGAGCCAGATGTAACAGCCAGAAACACTCATGAGCAATCATCAGGCTAATAATTATGGAGTGTGAGTGCTGGCTACATGGCAGCAATGTGTTTTAATCTGTCCATCTAATGAGAGGTGCCTTTAGAAGTGAGATGAGAGGGTGCTGTGTCAAGATGGAGGCCTGTATCTTTGATCGTCTCTGCAGGGTGGGATTGTTTTCACAGCCTCAGGGGAGAAAAAAGTTTTCACTTGATGTAGACATAATTTTCATACATTTTAGCATAATGTTATAAAGATATGAGGTCTCCAACACAAACACAGCCATAATATGTCATAAGAAAATTCTCTTTGCATGTTTAAATCCTTAGATTTATCATCAGATATCTAATTTAGAGTATTACAACACTTGATTTGTTGATTAAAAGCCAGGTTTGATTAGAGTGTGCATAATTCAAAGACGCGGTTATTAGTGGTTTCATTTTAAAAATGTTTTGGCCTGTTTGAAGTATTAACCTTGGCGACCCTGCAAGACAAAAACATGAGTACATCACTGAAAATGCATGCTATAAACAGATAAATACATAGATAGCAAAAAGGCTTTACTTTAAACTGTACAGGACAGTGAATTGTCATCACATACTGTATGCCAAATATTTTAAAAGCAAA